GATCGATATCATTTCGTGACAACCCATCATGCAAGCTCGGAGTTTATTAGTTCCGAGAAAAAAACAAGGTCATAGCACGCGAACAATGAACAAGCATGATGTTTCATCCATCATGCTGGGGAAAACGAGCGTTCTAGAAGGGGTATTTTTCCTATGTACTCATGGAAATTTCAAACAGTGGACTGAGTGGACAACCGGGTCATGTGATGCTGAAAACCCAGTCGTAACAGCAGGGATGGTTGTTTTTTAATAATAAAGAATGGTTATTGCAGTATAAGTAGTCAGGTTGCTTCTAAGTAGCTTTGCAGTGTACTTAAAGACAGCACGTAACTATCAACGTGCACTGTTCCTTGAAGCAGGGGGCATTCTGCGAGCAACTTTTCGTGTCAGGAAGGGAGGCCACGAGGGAGTACGTGGACTTTTCGTATCCCACGGGCCAATGCTTGTGTTAGCCTCCTATAGGAGAGCACCCAGGACTGCCTGGTGTCTAGACGGTCTCAGAAGCATAAGGACCGAAATTAACTACAGCGCTTTTTGAGGATTATATGACGTCTTTGCACTGTCTCCATTTACTCGTTGATGTATTTTATAGATCACCAGTGTTCCAAGCGATGTTGATGCATGAACTGACGAACGAGACGAAGAGTGTGAGTCTTTGTTCAGTATAGGGCTAAACGTTATTAACAGTTATTAGATTAAAAATATCACTTAGCACTGTACTAGAACCAGGAACGTAGTAGATTTTCCCGATTCAGGCGCACCATAGTCGGCAGCATCGCAAGAATAGCTATTTGTGATGGTTTGTCGGAGGTGTGCACTAGCCCTCTCCCCCCCCCCTCTACACCACTCGAAGAATATTACCGGAAAAGTTTGCTTGGATGATCCATTGGCTGTGGAGGGGGAATCGAAGAGGAAATTTCGAGAGGAGTTTCTTGCAAAAGTTCTGCCCTTCACCGCCCGGATGTTACTGACGAGACGTATTAGAGGCAATTGAGTCTGAAATTTCCTTATTCTTTAGTGTTGCTATGCCTCATGAGGTTTTTAGGTGAAATCTTTATTCAACAGCCTAACGTTTCGACAGGGTTGTCTTCTTCAGAGGTGTTCGGAATTCTACAGTTAAATCTACGCAATACGAAACGTGCACTCACCAGAATCCGTCGTCAAATGCGGATGATAGTCAGTAGCGTCTAGAGGCTAGAGTAAGTCTGATTTGCTGACTGACAGCTGGCTGGACTAACATCCACATGTGACCGGCGGAAAACTTTCACAGGCCATGGAGGGTCTGGCGACACGCAGTTGCACGATTTTACGTTTCGTATTGTGTAGAATTTCCTTGTAGAGTTCCGAACACGTCATCGGAACTGCTAGGGTTGGTTGGGCGCTTGACGGGGTAGTGTTCATCTCCTTAACTCGAAACACGTTTAGGCCTCTGAAGAAGACGACCCTGTCGAAACGTTAGGCCGTTGAATAAAGATTCCACCTAAAAACCTCAAGAGGCATAGCAATACTAACGAATTTAACAACGATGCCGAGGTTACAGCAAGAGAGAAGCTGGAGAATATTTCTTAATTCTATACACTGTAGTTCATTCCGATTTCAGGGTGTGTTGGAAATATCCGATCTAGACTACGATGTGGTATACGAACTGGTTTATTACATATACTGTGGTCGATGTCAGAAGGATATTGGTGACATTGCGACAGATTTGCTCATAGCTGCTGATAAGTATCGACTAGTGGAGCTAAAGGTTTGTTGCTCAGCAAAGCTTCTTTTATTCATGTATCCTGGATGGATGCAGTCCGGCTTGAGGTGGAGGGGGAGGGACATTTCAGTTACCGGTTTTGGTTTTATTTACGCTGGAGGTTTTCTGCTAGATTGTGAAATTTTGGATTTCCTGGAGCCTCCTGAAGTTTAGAAGTCTCCGATTAGAATGGGTAGGGCTCAGCAATGGCGAACATAGTGCTCTTGTGTTCCAGAATCACTGTGAGAAATTCCTTGTGGAGAATTTGGCAAACGAGAATGTCTGTCAGTTGCTGATAATAGGAGATTTGTACAATGCGGAGCGATTACAGGAGCGAGCCGTCCAGGTTTGTCATCTCAGTTTTTTTTCTATTTTCAAGTTTTTGGACTACCTTTGGGTTTGATGGAGGCCTATCGCATAGTTTAAATCTTGAGTAACCATGTATTGAGTGGGTTGGAGTACTAATTACAGAAGTGATAACTTTTTAGTTCATTCTTCAACGTCCAAAATACATCACATCAACGCCAGGCTGGGATGATATACTGAAGCAACATCCCCATCTAGTCACTCGAATTGTCAATCACTTTGATAAGGTTTGTTTCGACTTCTTCTATGGTCTAGATCGCTGCGGACGGTTGGGCGTGTCAGGTGGGATGAGTTTGGCGCGGTGCCAAACCTGTTCTCCACCACTTGTTAAGCGAGCAAATGATATGACTGTATCATATCGTTCGTATTACTCGTTTTCTACCACTTTTTGTCGCATGCGCGCTTCAACAAGAAGGCAGAGAACGGCTTTGACGGCGTGACACACTCATACTGCCTGACACGCCCAACCGTCCGCAGCGAACTAGAGTATAAATGTTTGTGTTCCGTCTCTCATATTTGTACTGGCTTGTTGTATGATTAATCGCGATTTCTTAAATATTATTTGTTGCTTTTTCTCTGGGAGGATAAAGCGCCCTGTGTATAGGGCTTACCCCCACCTCAAATGCTGCGGATATTTTTTGAGCCGGCGCCAGAGAGAGAATCCCGATAGCACGATAATTCAAAACTAAGTTTGAATGCGCAAGATGATGGCGAATGGATCGATGCTCACAGTGATGGTGGCGGAATCGCCAGCGGATCTGTAGTTGCGCTCCCCGTTGTCGGAGCCTGGAACAGATCTCAAAGTACAAGAAGAAATCACTCAAAAGACACATTTTGCGACAGTAAATTACAAGTTAAGGAAGACAGGCTAAATACAGTGTCCCAATAAGAGCACGCCATCGTTGTGATGATCACAACGGGGGTCGTATTTGACCGCGAGGGAGGGAGGAGTCGTATCTGGGAAAGGGAAAGGATCTCCACAACTATTATTTCCGACAGTTGAAAATGACAGTCAAATCGTGACGACCCCCCCTCCCCCGATCGACAGCAAAGTTTTGGGGAAAAACCGGAAATTTCGGAAAAACTGGTGGGAGGTTAGGGAAAATCTGAGAAATTTTCCTGTTTCTCATTGGGTATATACCCCCCGCCTCGACGGAAAATTCTTGGCTGAAAAACTGGAAATTTTTCGGGAAGAAATGGAAAAAGTGGTAGGAGGTTGGGGAAATCTAGGAAAGTGGTGGGTAGCATAGGGAGGGGAGAGGTCGTATATGAGGATGGAATTAGAGGGTTCGTATTTTTCAGGAAATGATCACAACGCGATGGCGTGCCCTCATCCCAATACTTTTGTCTTGGACTGAGCGTAAAATCAACTGCCCAAGAG